GCTGGGGTTTGATCCCAGGCAGCGGTCCCTGAGCCCATTCTCCTTACTCTCTATGACTGTGCTTTCACTGCTCCACCTTGGACAGGGCCATAAAATAAAAGCCAGGGCCAACTGGGTGAAGGGCAGGGTAATTTCTGGTTGCAGGGAACAGAGAAATCGGAGTCCTGTAAGAGGACTTTTTTTATTTTTAGGAATTTTTTAATAGATAAAACTGTCATATAAGTCAGCTGTGTTATTTCATACAACACAAACTGTCTTGTCAATGGAAGCTGAAAAGTTGTTAAGAACTTTCTTTCCAAAGTATTAACTGAGGGTTCATCTGATTACAGGAATCTTGTCTTTGCCAAGCTGCAAAGGAGACTGGGAAGAGCAACTTCTGGTTTGTTCAGGCTCTGTCTCTGAAGACAGGGAATTCCATTAATCACTGTGACTAGTCAGAGAACACTATAGGGACAAAAGACACACTCTTCAGGCCTTAACGTTGTTAAAAGCACAATTTGTATTTTCTTCTGAGGCAGTCAGGGACCTAAAAGAAGTTTTTGCTAAAACCCTGACTTTCCCTGGGCCTAAGGATACCCAATAGGTAACTAAAAGCAGAGCAAAGCTTCACCTTCATTTTATATCCTTTACCTTAAAACTTTGGCTATAGATATGTTAATCATTTTAAAAAAGTCAATAGAACAACGTTTATTAGCCCCAAGTTTGCCTACCTAATCTTATCCCCCTTCAAAACAAAGACAAAGGAACATCTGATTATCAGCTTTCACAACTTCCAGTTCCAAGACTCCCCCCCCCCAGTATGCCTGACAGCCTCCATTCTCTTGAACAGGAAGTCTCCTGTGTCTTAGGAAAAGTAGAGCCTCACATGAATAAAGCCACCACAGACAATCATTTCATGGGGATGGAGTCACCCCTCCCCCTCCAGTCAGCTAGGAGGACTTCTCCAGAGCTGTGAAACCAGGACTGAGATAATAACTAACCAATGGGATCCTAGCCCATCTTAGCACCTTATTAACTGGACCCTTCTCCTATGCACGAACCAATCTGATCCTCTTCATCAGAGTGTGTCCCTTTCCAGCTGCTTAAGATGGAGTTCTTTATCTTCCCTCACTTCCAATTAAAGCTTTTGCCTGTGAATTCATATCGCCATTTTAGTTTTAATAGCCATTGTCACAAAAAGCAAGGACCTATGTGCTACAAGGTGACAGTGGGAGAGTTTCTGTTGCTGGGTGACCACGAGCAGTGGTGATGCTATTCCGCATGGTGAAGGAGAACACTTGAGCAGGGAGGTCCACAATGCAAGATGGCAGCGAGAACACTCCTATATGTTAGTCATCCAGTGTCCCCTGTGTTTCCTGGGACAGAAAGCCAAGAACACAAAGTTCTACCCTTATCCAAAACATTCATCATGGTTTCCCTTGTAGTCATTAGACAAGTGAAGGAGGCTGGAATTGGGTGGGTGGATTTGATGTATTTGTTAAAAAGATACTGAAAAAGCAAAGTTGAGAGAAAAGATATAGCCAACAGGATCTTTGTCACTGAGACTCTTTGGCAGGGAGTCAGTTAGTTGCTTTTATATCTTCCTGTCTGAGTATGGAGTAGACTTAAATGGAGGCAGGTACCTACCCTAATGGGGTCCTCAGGAAGGTTCCTGGCTCCTCAGCTGCCATTTTATATCTCTTTCTGCAAAAATAATCCATAAGCAAAAGGGGACCCAGCTAGTGTGAGACTAGCTCCCAAGAGGCAAAAAAGAATTTGTGAATTCTTCAGCAGTCCCCAAAGGCTCAGAAAAAAAGAGATAGATTCCTAAAGAGGAAATCCAATTAGGAGTAAGCAAAGAGAAAGTAGGTTTTCATTTTCTGGAAAACAAAGAAAATATTTACATACTGGAAAGTAAATGACAAGATAGGAACTTTGAAGTATCTCCTCAAGCCACGCAGGAATGCCCGCAAAGCTTTTAAAACTTCTATTAAATTTCTTATTAGAATCATATCCCAACTTCCATACATCAGGAAACATATTACTTTTTACCCATTCTGGTCCTTTAAAAAAGATCACTTCCTATTCAGGCTATAAGAACTCATTATTAACCATGAACCATGTCATTATTTACTTTTCATTGTCAAGTTTTTCTAATCTTTTAAACAGCAATGTTCACCTTGATGTGTTCAAATTTCAGAGCCACCAACCTCACTCTTCAAAAACAAAATATTCCCTCTCCCCACGGTAAAACTACTAGTTTGATCTCCGTAGATGTCCAATCAATATAGAACACTTGACAAAACACAGAAATCTCATTTCCTTTTTCCTCACTATAAATCCATGAATCTTTACAACTTATGAGGGTAAAACACAGCACACAGTTTCGTGTGCAGTCTTTTAAAGAAATGAATACATGTTTCTTAAAAAAAAATCTAAGTATAAAATAAATCTCTCTGGTGTCTAAGGCGGGTCTGTGCACTGTAAAAATAACATACCAAATACGAACAGTGCTCACCTCTGGGTATAAGCCGCTCTATGCTACCAACTTTCAAAAACAAGCGTACAACCCTTTTAAGGATTAGGGCAAACAAAGTCACTAAAGAATCAGAGAGACTAGAAAGCTTATTCATATTTCTAAGTTATGGGGTCTGGGCTTTGTGAACATTTAAAACTTTGAATGTTTCGTTTCTAATACTAAGCATTCTGCCTGTGACCCTGTGCAGGTGATGCAGGCTCTGCCCCAGCCTGGCTTCTGTAGAGGGCGGGGCAAGCAGGTGCTGACGCCATGGTGACGTCACAGCATTGTGACGCCCTTGCTATATAAAGTCGCTGCAGCCGCTGTTTCGCCATTTCGCCCGTAGCTGCTCTTGGTCTCCTAGCCCTTGAAACAGGGACCAGGGGAACCCAACGCTTGCCAGGACATGGGAGGAAGCATGATGCTCAGGATGGGCCTGGGGCTGCTGCTCCTGGCTGTGCTTCTGCTCCCGCAGTTGGATGCACAGGCTACCACACCTGGCACCACTTCCGCTGGCAATGCCAGCAGTGTCAGCGCCCTGCAGTCTTCCATCAGTGTTCTCGTCTTGTCGCTGTCCTTTCTTCTCCATCTCTACTGTTAAACAGAGGCCGAGAAACATCTTCCTTCCTGCAACCCATCTGTAGAAACTCAATGGAAATGACATCTATAGAAGGCCAGAGTGATAAGGAAAAACCAGCTCTGTGCCCAGCCCTGGACAACGTTGATGAATGCCAAAGCCAACTGGAATTTTGGGTACAAGAGTGCCAAAGAGCGGACAGAGATCAGCCAAAATTAGCGAAAGATGCGGTTTTATGACTTGGAGTTTAAGAAATACGGACTCTTTAAACACAATCTTGAAAAGAACAGATTTCATCTTGAATTGAGGGAGAAAAGATGGGTGGGGAATGGAGATTGTTTTCATTTCAATTCACCAAATCTGTAAGGCCATACAAACAATTATGTACTCCAAAAGGCTTCTGTGGTTTGTGTACACTGACAGGCGTACCTGTAAATTAGTACTAATGTAATGTTGATAGATTCTGATGTTTTATATTAAGCTTTATTTTACTGGCCATGGAAATTTTTCCCCTGGGGTATTCGATTTAATGCTGCATTTGACTTTGGCTCACCAGCACTTCTGGCCACTCCTCATCCAACAAGCAGAACACATTTATGTTACTAATACACTGGAAGAACATTGACTTCAGATCTTAATATGGATAGATGGGCTAGATGGGTGGTTTTTCTGAGAAATGAGACACATCAAGTTTGACCGACAGCCCAATAAGGCCTGGGTGAAGGTAATTGATTTGGGCAGGTGGGTTCCTTGGGTCTCAGCTGTGAAGCAGCCAAGAATCCTAGCGTTCTTTGAAACACTGCCCCCTCCCCCAACAGAGTCATAGCCTCAAATACAGCTCACAGTCCCCATCCACAACATCAGACCCACCAGTGCTTCAACACATCGTGGCAGAGGCAGGAAGTATGAATATGGGACTGCAGGTGAGCCAGAAGAGTTGGAGGGTAGGATCTTAAAAGAATAGAGGGGCAGGATCTTAATTGGAAAGGAGGAAAGACCTGGCCCAGAAGGGTCTTGGGAAATATGGCTCTCTGATACTCCTCTAATCAATCCTAACTCCTCCTCTGGAGTGACCTGGAACAGGTTTATGTCCTTAGTCCTGGATCAGATTACTAAAGCTTTTCTACACCAGTTAAAATTTTTTGGCATTACTGGGGATTGAATTTGGGAGATTTACACTCTATCCCAGCCCTTAGTCCTTTTCTGGGGGACAGTCTTGCTAAGTTGCCCAGGTTAGGCTCAAACTTTTGATCCTCCCTGTAGTGCCCTGGGATTGCAGGTATGCCCCACCATGCCTGGCTTCCTTGCCAGTTCTGAATCTCCTTCTCCACATGATATGTGCAGTTGTTGCTTGTGATTCCCCACACCCATGGTCTGAATGTGTGCCCAAAGTTTGGTGTGTCGGGTGTTTAGTCCTGAAGGACCCTTGCTAGCAAGACAGACTCCATATTGCTGCTTGACCCACCTGCCTGCCCTTTAGATGAACTCAGAAGGAGGAAGCTTAGAAACCTCCTCCCCTTAGAGAGTCTTTTAGAAATAACAATTAATCAACTATGGTTTTACAAATGTTCTAACAGCAGGACGTTCTGCTTCTGTACCTTTTGCTTGCTTTACTAGTTCTATCCCGTAGGGGGGCCTAGAAACTGTTGGCCTCAAAGGTGTATAAAACATGTTTGTCTCCCCCAGTCAAGGCTCGAGTCCGATGCTTGGCTCGGGTCCCAGCCAGTAATAAACTCCTGTGTGGATTTAATATCGGTCTCTGATTGGTTCTCTCTCACTGGGTGTAACAGTCCCAAGTGTGGCAATGTGAAGAGGTGGAGAGACCTTTAAGAGGTGGGGCCTCATGAGAGGTCATTGTTGGCCCCTCCCCTGTTTCTGGTTTCCATTGTGATGCCATTTGCCATCTGTGATGTGGCCAGAAGGTCCTCACTGAGGCTGAGCTAAGCCAGGTGGTATGACCTTGAACATCCAGAACTGTGAGCTAGAATAAGCCTCTTCACAAAGTACTGAGTCTCAGGTATTTATTTCACTGTAGTAACGGAAGAGCTACCACACCCCACCTGGCACCTGTGCCTTTTGCCACATAAATCTGCCATCCTCCCACTGTCAATGGGAAAAGAAGACTTCCTCCATTTTTGTCCTTGAGCTCAGTCATGTGACTTGCACAGAATAATGGGACAGGGACTTGGGATGTGCACGTGGGAGCAATGGAGTGTGGCCCATGGGTAGTGTGAGGTGGCAGGAGGCTGGGAGACACATGGTCTCAGGCTTGGATTGTTGTTTAATGTCTTTGATCCTTGGGGTAACTTGTTTGAAATAATATTTTTATGATGGTAGGTAACTGATACATTCTTGTTGGTGACATGATTTTGGGTTATTTCGCCATCCCTTTATAGGCTTCCTCCAAGTCAATTATGTGAATCGTCAAACATACACTATTAACAGTCAATAGTCACACTATTCACATTTATAACACCAGAAATAACACCAGAAAGTATGATTCTGAGCTCCTTCTGTGTCAGGACACTGCCCTTTGAGCTTTGCACTCAATGAGAGAAGTTCCACAACACACCTGTGCGGCCCGTCTGTTGTTGTCCCTATTTTACATATGAGGAAATCAAGGCACAGAGGGGTGAATGACTTGCTCCAGGTGACACTGCTGTTAGCAGGGGATCCATGAGTTGATGAAGGCTGTCTTGTTCCAGAGCACAGTGCTACTCATCCGAAGGTTGGGCTCTGCCTATGGCTTCGTGGCACAGACCATTTGAGCCTATTTGATTCTCTAACAGCTTATTTTACCACTAGACTGTAAACCCCTTGAGGGACGTGATATGGTTTAGATCTACAATGTACCGCAAAGGCATTATGGGTTCAGAGGTTGTGCTTTTAAAAGGTTATTGGATCATGGGGATCTACAGTCATCAGTAGATTAATCTATGGAAGTTCAGAGCCAAGTGTGTTGTTGGAGTTGGGTCCTGGTCAAAAGAGACGGATAACTGGGGACCTGGCCTGGTTCCTCCCTTCATACTCTGTTTCTCAGCTGCCGATGATGTCTGCAGCTTTCCTCTTCTCTAGGCCCCAAAGAGAACACCACCTATTTGAGAATCCCACCATCCCACCTCCCTGTCTGTCCCAAACTCCCGCCTTCTCACCTATGCTCAGTTGCTCACAGTTTCTGAGAGAAGAACAAGTATATTCACCCGGTCCATCCCATATAATCCCAGTAGCCTTGGAAGGTAGAATTACCTTGAAACCAAGGCTCAAGGCACCTGAAAGCCTCGCCTAAGACCTCTGAACTTGGAAATGTCAGGCTTGCAGCAGTCCGGCTTGGCTCTAAAGTTGGTTGGTCCTCCTCTCCCCAAGCTGTTGTGTCCCTCAATACTACCAGAAAACCTACAAGGCTGGGTGAGCCATTGAGAGCAGACACTGTTACAGATGACTATGATCCAGGGAACTATGGCAGATCCCAGGAGGGGTGCTGCTCTGGCAGCTGGACAGAAAGGCACATGGCAGGCTAGGAGGCCAGGAGCAGGGAAGGGCTGGCAGGTGCCCAGGCAGAAGGCAGAAGACCCCAGAGGGTGGAGGAGGCCTGAGAAGATGGCCTGGCTGGGTGGAGGTGGGAGAAGAGGTGTGTGGTGGGAGAGAGAAAGAGGATCTTGCCATGCATGTATGGGCTGAGGCCCTGCGGCTGGCCAGGCTTCTCAGAAGGGAAAGGTCACAGGAAACCCTGAAACCTTGTTAAACCACAGCTTTGCTCCTGGAGGTCTAGGCAGGCCCAAGTCGGAATTTCTGAGGAGGTCCTAGGGGATGCCTGTGCTGCTAGTCTAGGGATCACACTCTATTTCATCTAGGCTAGGCTTCAAACTGACACTGCTAACCACCTAGCCCATCTAGCCATTTGCTTTAGCTAGCTGAGCCACAGTGCCCTGTCTGTGATTCATCCTTGATATGGAAATTACACCAGGAGATGCAGTTTGGGGACTGAAGGAGATGAGAGGTGGCAGGCATGGGGCCAGTGCTGGGTATGCAGTGGGTGCCCAGTGCAGAGGGTGACAATGACAGCCTCCAAGTGAGTGCTGGTTCCTTAGTATCAGGTCCCCCTTTGCATCTGTTAACCCACCAGAACATCACAAAGCCCTGGTGTAGCTCCACTGTTACAGTCTTTTCACAGGAGGCCAAAGAGGTTGATACTTGAGGTGCCCTGGTCCATCGCTGGGTGTGTGCACTTGGTACTTCCTTAGGGACCTGGAGATGAAGGTCCAGGCTACCAAGAGTGTTTAGACCACAGAGGTCTCCATCACTGATTAATCCACCTCATCCACCTCTTGGCAAATCCCCAGTTTGTCCACTAGTAGCTCCATTACTCCAGAGGGAACAGTTTGTCACAAAGAACACAGGCCAATTAGGTTCTTTTGGTGAAGCATCATTTTGGAAATTGTGCATCCAGTGTCCGTCGTTAGCTGCCTGTTTTTTTTTTTCCTCCCATTAAGTTTCTTGGTACATTTTAGGTATACAATACAGTTACATTCATCATTGGGATCTTGCACTTTTACATGAGTATCTTGGTTCTTATTTATTTCCCCTTCCCTTGCCCTCCCTTCACCCCGTCCACCCTTCCCTATTTGTAAAGACTTTGTTTCCATTTTTTGCCTTTTCTCATATTTTTTCTTTTCCCTTTTTTCCTTTCCCCTACCCCTCCCACTTCCCCTGCACCTTTAGACCTTTTCTTCCCATTAAACAATATCAATTATACATTTTTAGATTACAATATCAAGATCTAGGAGACATAACCACAGATTTTACAGAATTTAAAAGGATATAGAAAGCATATTTCAAAAATCATTTTTGAAATAAATTTGACAACTTCTAAGAAGTACCTTGGAAGA